AGGTTCTTCAGCCTGGGGAGTCCTTTCACTCTCATACACAGATCCCCTTTCTCTGTAGTCACTTATCCAGGTCACTGTTACCACTTCGGGGTGTACCTTACAGGACGTGCAGGTGGACATTTCTAGTCGGTACTTGCTGCTCCCTGTGAATTTTAGTAGCAAAATTTTGGGTTTTTAGATAGGCATGTTGCCACCCAAGTAAAAAACTTTCCCAGCCTCTCTGCAATTAAGTGGGACCACGAGCCCAAGTCCTGGTTAGTGGCATAGTACCTGAAGGATGTGTAAGTCTTCTAAGAAGTCTCTTGAATCAGAAGGGAGTTCAGTCTTTTCTATCCTTTCTTTTTATGGTCTGGAATATGGATGTGATAGCTGGAGCTCTAGGACTCATCCTGGACCATGAGGCCATAGACCACACAAGCGACGGTAAAGCAAAGCACCAGAAGTAGTGAAGTCTAATAAATTGTGGAAGTGTCTTGGACTTCTTTTACATGAGTGGTTAAGCCGCCATTTTTTCAGAGAGGAAATAGCAATTCCTAACTAATTAATTTGTTAGTGGAATCCGCTACAACAGTAGCTAAAAGGTAACATTCACTTAGTGGACAAGGGGAAAGGCCAAGATTAAGGGTTTAGGTATTGCGGGCTAGGACTTAAAACATGGTTGCACCTTTTTTGACATGCCTTCTATCCAGATGTGGGTTCTTTGTCTCCACCCCCTGAATCTGAGGGGGCCATGACTACTTCCACTAGTAGCATCCTGTGGAAGTGGAACCCTAGGACTTCCATGGCTCAGTCCTCAGTGCTGACACTGGGTAACAATCTTGGGACCCTGACTGCCCTTAAGAGGACTGATCAGCCTTAGTTCCTAGGCTGCGGAGGCCAGGCCACATGAAGATGCCCCAGTTGACAGGGCTGGCTGAGTGGCCTCCTTTCTTCCTCCTTCCCGGCCCAGGCCCAGGCTATGAGTGGAGGAGCTGTCGCAGACCCCCCTGCTCCAGTCCCAGCCAGGGGAGTCCTCCCCAGCAGGTCACAACAACCATGCTGAGGCCCCCAATACTGCAGAGGAGAAAGGATGTCCTTGCTGTGCCTTTTCCAAGTTCCTGACTCACGGAATTGCGGACATACCAAAATGGTGGCTATTTTATGCCGTAATACCTTGAGGGGTTTCGTTGCTCAGCTGATACGTGGCTGGAACAGCTGGTAAAAAGAAGGCAGGAGTTTAGTTCTCTTTCATAGAAAAGAAATGCTGAAATAGGCAATCCAGGGCTGGTTTGGTGACTTCGTAGTCAGCAAGAACAGACCCATGTATCCTTCCCGCTGCCTGTAATGTAAACACGACAGGCAGAGCTTCAGCAGCCACACTGGATCAGAAGGTAGTCTCCAAGGCAGCAAGAGAGAGAGCCAAAGGGACTCTAGCTCCCTGCTAAAAACTAGGGGACTTTAATTTTGTTTAGACCACTGTAATTTTAGATCTTTAGATTACATGACAAAAGTAGTGCTAACTGGTACAGAATTTTGAATACATGAGTTTAAATCTCAGGAGAGCTAAAGCTTTGAGAGTTTTCAAAATAGAAGTAGTAGTTGAAGTTCTGGGTAGAGGTTAAATTGCTTAAGAAGAGTGTAGAGTGAAAAGGGTGAGGGGTAAGGAGAGAACCCCGAGAAATACCAGCAGTTAAAGGAGAGCAGGGGAGGAAGGCAGGAGAAAGCAATCTGGGACAAAAGTGTCCCTCGAACCCTGTCCTTTCCTGTGGTTGGCCCGGAGAGCCCTGCTGTCTGGTCCTCATGGATATAGCTAGCATATTGCAAGGCTCAGTTGCCACATGGGCTCCCCTCTGGGACCAGAAGGAAACTCCTTGAAGTCCAGGATCTATTTTGGTCCTTTTTATTGTGTCGGTGTCTACAACAGTGACTGGCACTAGGGGCTGGCAATACAAGCAAGCGGAACTGATTGAACTGCTGCTGGCGAGGAAGTCCTGGGAAGGGAGGGTCTCAGGAAGGAGGGAGCGGTCTGCAGCGCCAAAGGCTGAGAACAATCACTCGAGATAAGGCCTGTAAGGGGCTGGTGGCATTCGGCTCAGTGCATCTGGCAATTAGGACACTGGTGACCTTGAGGAGAAGTGTTTTATGGGGAGGTCAAAGCAGAAATCATCTGCTGTGAGACATGGGGACGGAGCTGTGTAGGAGCAGGTGGGGTGCTGGCCACTCTCTTGGGAAGGGAAGAGGAAGACAGGGAGAAGCAGGGACATAGAGGAAGGAGGGGCTCTGTTTATCTTTTCTATCTTATCATGCTTACAGGCTGACAGCAGGGAACTTGGGAGGGAGCCTCCCCTGACCTTCAAGGACACCCTGCACTTCCCCATCAGAGCTGATGAGCTCCCACTAAACTTCTCATGTATGTAGAAAAATCTTTTCATGTTTCCTTCTCTCCAACAGAGGTCAAGTTTCTGGAAAGCAGAAACAGTCTATGGCCTGCTGCGCCCAAAGCTGGTGCCTGTTGATGCTAGTTGCCTTTCCTTCTCAGTGTGGCCTGAAAAACATGAGCTTGAGGGAACACCAGGTGGTGTGGAGATTAAGGTGGCTGGATCCCACATGGCTGCTTACATGGTTCAAATCCTGGAACTGGAGGCTTGAAAATCACGTTGGATCTGTATCATGTGTGCCCTAAATCCAGAGAGGAGACTAGAGGAGAAGGGATTGGAGTGCAGCCATCTCCCCTAGGGAGTGCTTTCTTACTTTCCTCCTCTGTCTCTGACAAAAGTAAAGTGAAATTAAAAGGAAAAAAATCAGAGTTTGAAGCAGCACGGATCTGTGTGAGCTAGTGCTCCCTGCTTGATGACACGGTTTCATGAGAGCAGTGGCCTCCCCACAGGAACTCAGAGACCCTGCCGTAGGAAAGGAAGGGGAGAAGGGCCGGGCTGGAAACAGCCCACCCCCACCTCTGGAGTAGGGAGCAGGAAGCATGAGTTTCCCATTTGCAGTGGGGTAATGAAAGCAGGAGAGCCAACGACACTGACCCATGTGAGTACTTTATTCCATGCCCAAATAATACAGTGATTTTATAAACCTTGTTTTAGATATTTTGAGGAATCCAAAGCATGGCTGTCTTCACTTTACACCAAACAGGTCCTTGCCACCTGGTTCCCTCTTTGATATTTGAAGGAGAGCCTGTTTGTTGCAGTAGGGAAGAAAATAAATGCTGGAGTGGAGGTAGCCGCTGCTCTGTTGGAGGACAGCCGTGGCCGCCCAGGCTAGAATTACCTAGGTGGGGACCCGTTTTGCAGGTCCCAAAGCCCAGTTCATCAGTAGCTCAATGGAGCACTGACTCATGCTTTTTAAGCTTATAGGAGTGAGAACACAAATCTATACCTCTTAATCTTCAATATGCATAGGAATTTCCTGGGGGAATGGGGTGGAAACCTCCTTAAAATGAAGATTCTGATTCAGCTCAGCTGGGATGGGGCTGCAATTTTACCTTCCTGTCCAGTTCCCCACCACACTTTGAACACCAAGGCTATAAATCAGAGGCCAACTTTTTCTAAACTTTTGGTTCCGGTCACTTCTTGTCTTCTTATGCAAAGAACTGTGGGAGCCGGTGGCCCAGAAAGAGGCCTGTGACTTGCCGGCTGGCTGGGCTTCAAAGACCACACCCCTTTCTGCCTTTCTGGTTTCACCGTCTATCAGCCCGGCATCTCAATGGCTCCAGGTAAGGTCCCAGCCTCAAGGGAGAGCTGGTTACTTGGACTGGTCTCTCTGTCCCAGGGCTTTTCCCAGACATTTGCTGGGAAGCCCCTTCCAAGGAGGGCTTCTTCAAAGGTCTCCCCTAGCCCTGTCTAACTTGCTCCTCCACAGTTTCATTTTCTTTGGGTGACCCCAAGAGTTGGGGTGTTTCTGGCCATAGTTTAGCTGATGACTAAGAATCCCAATTTGGGGGCCAGAGGTGGTTAAGGTGCTGAGCCCTACATGGCTGACTGTGGTTTGAGTCCTTGACCTGGTGGTTTTCAGAGCACACTGGGCAAATCCTGAGAGAAGGATGAAGCAGGAGGAATCGGAGCCTGGCCATCTCCCCTGGGATGTATGCTTTCTCACTTTCCCTTGCTCTCCGTCTCTGTCCCTCTCCAGCGAGGACATATGTCCTATAGCAAAAATTAGAAATAAATTAACCCCATCTAGAAACCAGAGGACTGGTGGTAAGAGGACTGAGCGGTACCATGGGAGCAGGTCGGGGGCATGGTGCTTGAGGTGGCAGCACTAACAGCATGGCCCGCCGCACCTGTCTCCCTCTGCCACAGCCTGCCCAGATTGTCTGACCTGCATCCCAAGTTCTGGCTTGATGACCCTGAGCTGCAGGCGTGCGCTCTGCCTGGCATTTCCCTGGAGCTGGCGGCTCAGACATGGCTGCCTGTTCAGCATCATGTGCCCCACCGGCCCTGGGGCCCTGAGGGACTGTGTAAGTGCAACCAAAACCCGTTTGGCTTCATCGTGGCAGAGACTGGGATGTCTCTAGGGCTCCATCTAGATCTAGCATCATCTTTCCTATTAATACCTTGATTCATATAAATAAAACCCACAAGAACAGAATTGCTTTACATTTTAGAAAGCATTGCTGCAGAGAAGCAGAATGCTCCGGAAGTCCTCCTGTGGACCCCCCCCGGGCCTGCCACAGGAGGAGGCAGAGAAAAGCTGGGGGGAGGGAGCTGACCTGGAGTCCAGCTCTGAGTCTGAGGCCTCTGGGGAAACAGCCTCTTTCCCAGGCCAGGCGTATACTGTCTGCATGTGGGGAGCCCATGGCTCCCAGACCCTCTAGCCTGCAGGGAAGCATTTAAGAAATTCCAATGGGCAAAACGCCTCAGTGCAAGTCCTTGTTATTTCCCTTCCTCTCTCTCTCTGTCACTGTCTCTCTTAACTTTTTAGCATTTTATTTTTGATAGAAAGCCCAGGACAGCCGGCCTCCCCTACTTGTTGGTGCACAGCCCGGCTAGCCCCAGAAGGTGCTGCCTCTGACATCAGAAGCAGATGCAGGATGGATGAGGCTCCCTGGGGCTTAGGATGGACACTGGCTCTTCGAGCGCTTCTTCTTCTCCACCGCCAGCCGCAGAGGATGGACACTGGCTCTTCGAGCGCTTCTTCTCCACCGCCAGCCTCAGGGCCTGGAGGAGCTTGTCTTTGTTGTTCAGGATGTTGTACTCGGAGAGCTTCACCAGCTTGTCGAAGGCAGCCTCCGTGTACGTCAGCTCCTTGGTGGCATAGGGAGTTTTGGGGCCATAAATGTCAACCTGGCCCTGCTCCAGCTCCTCGGGGCTTCGTTCCACACCTGAGGGCAGTGGAAGGACTTGCTATAGACTCACAGAGATTATGTCGTGATGACTTGTTCCCAATTCTTTCCCCAAGGGCCACCTTGCACACACAGACACATACACCTGCCTAAAAACACGACACACACTCGTGCACACATATGTACACCCCAAAGTTCCTCAGGGCAGGGGTACTCTTCCTGGAGGAGGGGCTCTTTCTTGTCAAAACCAAGGTGGGCTCAGAGCTAAGCCAGTCACCCTACTCAGCACTATCAGTAGGCTCCACTAGTCAGGCAGGGAGCTCTTTGTCCAAGGCCCGCAGGTGCTACGAACTTACCTGGTGCCTTGTATTTTTGGAAGGTGTCGCTGATGAGTGGGAAGAAAATCACAACAGGGGCATCGGGCTCCTGGGGGTTTTCCATCAGGTAGCATTCCTTGAGGTTTGCGTTATCATCGTCTTGCAGCTCATAGCTGGGGAAGGGGATGTTCTGCGTGCTGCAGTACTCACAGGTCTGCTTCAGGGGCTGGGAAAGCACAGGAAGACACATTGGCATGTTAGAAGGGTTGGGGTGGATGAGAACTCAAGGTGCTTAGATCCTGCTTCCCAGTTTTCCCAGTTAACGACTCAGGTCCTCATTCTGTGACCGTGTAAGAATAAAGCTAGGCTGGACCCATAGTACCATGGTTAAGTGCTGTGCATAGAAAGCCAGTCCCACATGGCTGACTGGTTCAGGTCCACCCCGAGGGGCTGGAAAATCATGCTGGGTACGTGTGTGCGTGTGCACGCCCCAGTCCTGACTGGATGGAGAAACGGACGAAAGAGGGTTGCCGTGTGACCACGCCCCACTGGGAGTGTTCTGTCTCCATTACTCTTTCTGGTGAGGACCCATGCCCCCTGAGATTAGAAAAATATAAAATAAAGGCAGGCACGGATAAAAGGCTTCAGGCAGTGGTGGGTGCATGTCCACTGTCCTTCCCCATGCGACATGGAAAGAAGCACTTTTGGTGGTGCTTTGTCCTAATGCAGGCCTGGCTAGAAGTGGTGGTGGCTTGGGAAGGTTCCGGGCACAGCCAGGGCTGACCAGGCCCCTGTGGGACTTTGGAACTGATAGTGTCACAGGGCCAGGAAGGACTCTGCAAGGGCGTCTCTAGAAAGGTGACATGAAGGCTCCAGGCATAGCAGTAATGAGGTGCTCAAGCGAGACCGGGTCCCACATATTGAACCCCTCCTTGGCTGCTCAGCCTGAAACACGCCTGGCACTTTTCTGAGATCTGGCTGGAGGAGAGACATCGTGGCATGACCAAACCCTGTAGAGGGTACTCCTCTCTCGCTTTCTGTCTACCTATTACTTTCACGTACACATGCATGTGCTCTATCATGAATAAAGAAAAGAACTGTGATTAACAGAAGGAGCACTGGACTTAAGAGTGTCTGGATCCCCTTAGTTTTGCCCCTGTTTGACTGCTCATCGGCTGTGTGACTTAAGCAAATCACTTACCCTCTCTGTGCCTCGGTTCCCTCGTCTATAACCTGGGAATTACAGCAGCTGTGCCTTGTACCTCTAAGAGCTGGTGCAAGGACCAAATGAGATCCCTATAGAATGTATATGGTTACTTGTTTGGGACCTCGGGTCACTAGCGCTGTCACTGTGCTCATCAGCTGTCACTACTTCCTTCTCCCTGGCTTCAGGATGGGACTATATTAAAGTAGACCCCAAACAGTCCCTTTCTCTAAAAGGGCCAAACTTTTCAAAAATAATTAAAAAAAAAAAAAAAAAAAAATCCCTGGTCCTGATTGTTCAGTATGATTTCACGGAGGGTCTCATATTCTCCAGGGGAGGGGAATATGATTATTTTGAAGATAAGACATTACAACATCTTGAAGGGTACAAAGCATTGGACTGGAATAGGCTCTATGGAGGTTCTACTTCACTCCCCCCCCCTTTTTTTTTTTCAGCTGAAGAATCGCCAAATGAGGCATTTGTTCAAATGCAAGAATAAAATTCGAATTTACTAAGTGAGTCGGCAGAACCTCTGGCACCTCTGCTAGTAGGAGCCAGCAGGCTGCCCCTGAGGTTTGGGTGTCTGCGCTCACATCATGGCTGCCTCGGGGCCTGCAGGCAGCTCCACCCTAATTCGCAGCCCCGGAGGCTGCTGGGTTCTACGCCGGTCTCCCGAGGGCAGCCTGGCACCCAGGGTGAGCCGTGCTCTGCTGTACTTGCCTTTGTCTGGGACCCGGCGCAGTAATTGAGGTGGATGATGAGGTCCACCTTTCTCTCTGGCCGGAGGAGAGGTGGGTAGCTGGAGTTGACGAAGAACGCGGTGTCCAGCAGGGCCAAGTGGTTTGCAAACTCGGTCAGCTGGTTTGGGAAACCGTCCAGCACTGTGTCTAAAAGCCAAGCCTTCCGGTTACCAACATGTCAGGGGCCCTGATCTCAGTCAGAGGCAGAGGTACCGGGTGGGGGCGGAGTGCCTCACCTGGACATTCCTTCACTTAGCCTAGACCCCCAACTTCCCTCGTCTGGCCAGGATACCCACAGAGTCCCTCTGGGTGGTCCTTTATGGGATATGCAAAAACCCCACTGTGACCCAGCCACGGAGCTTGTAGGGGTTCAGGATTTAAGACCACCTATAAATAATGTAAACCCTGGGCCCAGAGCCACCTGTCCCTTCTGACAAGATGAGGCACATTTGGAGCCAGCAGGTGGCAAGGTGGTTGGGGTGCTGGCCTCCCACATGGCTAATACTAACCCCAGTTCAAGTCCTGGACCTGGCGGTTTGCTTTTTTACTTTTCTTCTCTCTTTCTGGTGAGCACATGTGCCCTGTGGCAAACTGAAAAAATAATAATGATTCTTTAAAAAATGAGGTGCATTCGGGTGGTATGGGTGTAGACTCAGCTAACCCTTCTGCCTCAGATGGTGAGGACAAGAATTAATAGGCCAGGCTCAGGCATCGTTTCGCAGGCGATAGCCAAATGAAATAGCAAAGGTGGGAAGTCAACCTTGTAGCCTTAGCAGGGCGTGTATGTGTGCGTGGGACGGACTGAATTGGAGCTGGAAGACCATAGTTTAAGATCTGGCTCTTACCACTTCGGGGTTCTTGAGCTGGGCCATCCCTGCCCAATTCCAAGGGGGCCCCACCCACACTGAAGGTGCTCCCAGAGCACAAATGCAGAAAAATAAGGGCCTATATCCCCTATCTGTAAAACAGGGCTAACTTCTCCCTGCTGGGATTTTTGTAGTTTCTGAAATGAATTAAATAACGACATGGCTTCCTGCTGCCAGACCCATATACCCACAGCTCAAGACGACACCGTGGAACGTGGAACATGGAACGTGGAATGCACTAAGCGGGTGAGTCTGCCAGTGAGCACGATGAATGGTCAGTGGGGGTTCTCTCATTCTTTCTCACGGCGGCCACCCCATTCCCCTTCTCCCTCAACCAAACAGAGGCTGATCTGGAGCAGCTGCAGGCAGGGCTACCTTTCCACATGGAGAACTCGCCGTTCTGGAGGTAGTCGGTGTGCAGCTGCATGCCGGACAGGAAGTTGTGGAACTCAGACACGAAGCCCCGATAGGTGAGGATTTCTCGGAACATGTTGGACAGCCGCGTCCCAGGGATCACCACTGTGGTCTCCAGGGTGTTGGCATCACATTGGGGGATTTCAGGCAGGAGCGGCTCGTCCTCTGCAGGGGACAGGAGGATGGAGGGAAGGTCACAAGAGTTGGGGGAGTCTTAGGCTGCCCAGGTGATGCTGCCCATGGTTGTCTACACCTGGTAGGGCTGAGCCACTGTAAGTGCAGCTCACCCCTGGCTTGCCTAACTCTCAAGGCTCTGTGCTGGAGCCAGGGGGACCAGGTGGGAGACACTGAATGGGGTGGGGAGGATGGAGAGGGAAGGTGATGGGTAAGGAGGGCTCCAGGGGGCTCGGGAGTCCGGAGGGTGATGTCTAACTGTGCTCCAGGACTCCTACATTGTCAGCTCCTCTAGGTACCAGGAGGTTTGCTCTTTGGCCTTGACAGGTGCCACCTACAATCTCCCTCCCCTCCAGCTGCCTTCCCATGTCTGAGGGCCACAGGGACGATGTAGGGACACATGGCGGGTGGGCGGGTCCTCAGCTCCTGATCTAAGTCTCCCCCACCCCATTACCCATCCAGGAGAGTCCCCCACCGATGTCAAGCATCTTCTTCCTTGTCCACCGGTGGAAAAACTCCTCTGAGGTGTGGGACAGATTCCAAGCATCGAGCAGGTTCAGCGAGAAGATGCTGCTCCACAGACCTGGGGAGACAAGGTCCTCCGTGAGCAGCTCTGCCTGGAGCTCCCGAGTCCCTGAACACTGCCTGGGTCTGCCTTGGCCTTGAGTCCCCTACATGCTGGGCTGCTCAGGTGGTGGGATAGACTCTGATTTTCCTGTGCCCATGCTGCAACTCGGCACAGTGACTGAGGCCACGGTCCTCAGCTGCTCTCCCTCTCCTCAGTGGCAGAAGAAGGTGCAAAGGCATGGGAGGCACAGCCCAGGAGGGGTACAAGCCTGGAGGTCAAGTCCAGACACCACCGCTTGCACCAGTCTGTACACCTAACACGCTTAGGACAGTGCCTGGCACATGGTGAGCATGCAGTACTGTAATGCGATCTGCTATTATCATGATTTTAAAATGCAATGTGTGAATAATAATACTCATCTTAAACCTTTCATATATTGATACATTAACCCACTGGGATTTTCTAAGTAGGTTTTATTCTTTTTTTTTAAGGTTTTTGCCATAGGGTGTATGCACTTGCTGGAGAGAGATAGAGAGACATAGAGAGAGGGAAAGTGAAAAATCACCCCCTGGGGGGACGGCCACCCTGCAATTCCTTCTCTTCCATTCTTCTCTCAGGATTTTGGGCACGTGTGCACACACACACACACACACACACACACACACACACGTGTCCAGCATGATTTCAAGCTACCAGGTCTGGGACTTGAACCATAGTTGGCCATGTGGGAATCTAGCACCTTAACTACTTTGCCACCTGCTGACCCAAGAAGCCTAATTTACAGATGAGAAAACTGAGGTCCAGAGAGCTCAGGTAATTTAGATGACTGCACACTGCTAATAAATGAAGAAGCAGAGCTGAAGCCCAAGTGTTCTAACCATAGCTTCTGGATCACACCCAATAGCAGTGGTGTTCAGGAGGAGAGGCCTCCATGGGCTGGGGATCTGAGTGGGCTTCATAGAAGGGAGAAGGCTGGAGCTGGCCCTTCTGGGATGGATTAGATTGGGCTAGATGGAAGGGGCGTGACAACTGGTTTAAATAAGGGCATAACTGCTATGGAGGCTGTAAAGGTGGGTTGGGTTTCTGAGGGCATCCTTTGATGGATGTAACTGAGACTGAAGGGAAGAAAATGGTGGGAGTGGACATCAGAGACCGACTCCTGTACTTAGCAGACCTGGCTTCTGGGTAGGGGGCTGGGCCAGGCGGCCCAGGACTCTGCCCTTTACCCTGCGTTTCCCTCTGGCCCCAGGACTCCAGAGTCTGGGTCAGTCCCTGGAATCAGGGCCCGTCTAGAGTCCTAGGGTGAGGGAGTGAGAAGTTTCCATCTCAGCCTACCACTCCAGTCTGGTTCTGAGAAGACCCCAGGGACACAGGGAGAGGTCCTTCTGGTCCCCAGTGTCTTGAGGAAACTTGCCAGGTCTTTCTAAACCTGAGGGCTGCAGGAAGATCAGAGCTGTCCTAAAGGCCTCTCTGGGGGTAGGTTTAGGAGCACTCCTAGGATGAGGTGATGCTGACAAGTGCCAGGAGGGTGATATACTCAAGGGCTAACCCAAGTCAGCCCAGCACCTACGACAATCCTTTCTGTCATTCCTATAATTTAGACAGGATCTGACCCACACAGGACACCCAGAGGAGTCCCCAGCCAGGAATTACCTAGCATGTAGCATATCCGCGACTCAGGGATCCTCTTCATCAGCCTCCCCATGAAGAACTCTGACCCGAAGAGCTCGCTGGGGATGAAGGCCCCATACTTCTGCATGCCCACTTCGTAGGGGGAGAACTCACACCACTCTGCATATGAAGCAGCAGGGGACCTGTCAGTCTCAGGCCAGGGAGCCAGGCGGACACAGATGCACCCTCCCCCCTGCATGGCCAGGGCAAGCTCCCGAGCTGTCCACAGCCTGGGACAGGGAGGTGCAGTTACCCGGTAGGACACATGGGGGCGGCCGCGGCCTGCTTCTCCTGCCCAGGCAAGCTAGTTTGGCAACCTGTAAGACCAAAGCTGACTAGGAAGCAGGGCTCTAGAATCTCTTATCTGGACAGCTTAAGAAATATCTAGGACTCCTTCCTTTCACCAACTTTTTCCCCCATCTCATCAAATGTGTTCCCAGGGGGCCAGTTACTGGCTCCTCATGGTGGCAGGCAGAGTAGGGTAGACAAGTTACTTAGTTCAGCCATGGGCAGTCTTTTGTTTTTGGAGATGTTTTTGCTATAGGGCGCATGTGCTCGCCAGACAGATAGAGACAGAGAGCTAGAAAGCGAGAAATCACCCCCCAGGGGGGATGGCCACGCCGCAATCCCTTCTCCTCCATTCTCCTCTCGGGATCTTGGGCACGCACGCACACGCGCCCCGCGTGAGTTCAAGCCACTGGGTCCGGGTCTTGAACCGCGGTCGACTACGTGGGAGTCCAGCGACATAGCCATTACGCTAACTGCTGGTCCCCAGCCATGGGCAGTCTTGATGTGGAGTTGGTGAAGGTGGGTGGGGAGGGGAGCCTGGAGGTGCTGGGTGCCTTTGCCCACCAGGAAGAGACACCCTTGTAAATTGCTAGCCACCAGTGTTACCTCTGAAATCCTGGTTGCTTACATCATCCTTGACATTGATGGTGAGGTAGATGGGCAGGGGATTCTGGCCCCGGCACAAGGCAGCACGCTGGTCTGACAGTTTGCATTCATTTCTCTGTGGAATATGACAGGGTTAAGGAGATGCAGACTAGCAGCCCAGGGCTGGGGGCAGTCCAGAATGAGAGGGCAACCTGGGCACCCTGGCTGCCATCTCCAGACCCAGGAGCCCACCAGGCTGCTGGGTAGGCTGCAGCTGACACCAGTTAACCTGTTTTAAAATGTACCCATATAATGCATGCCACCTCCTTGGGCCGTCCCCGCTCTAAGACATAGGCAGGGTGGCACTAGATGGCAGTATAGAGCTGTCCCTTAGAGTCCCTGGGTCCTCCTTAAGCCTCAGGGACCAGAAGATGAAAATGGAGGGGTGGGACAGGCCATTACTAGTCCTCATCATCCTCATCATTTTACACCTTTGCATGTGCTCAAACTGGAGTGGTTTTTTTGGTTTTCCTTTAATCAACTTGGGATATTGGTCTTCCTCATAAAATTTGTTAGGAGGACAGAAGTTTTCTTTTTCTAAAAACAAAAGCTTCAGGACCAGTAGATGGCATAATGGTTACGTCACTGGACTCCCACATAGTTGACCACAGTTTGAGTCCCGAACCCAGCAGCTTAAAATTCATGCTGGGTGAGTGTGCGTGCATGCCCAAAATCCCGAGAGGAGAGGAAAGAAGGGATTGAGGCATGGCCATCTGCCCTGGGTGGGGGGGTGATTTCTCACTTTATGTCTCTCTGTCTCTGTCTCTCCATCAAGCTCATATGCCCTATAGCAAAAATCTCTCTTAAAGAAAAATAGCTTGGAAATCTGGCATGAGGTGGTAGCCAGGGTCCCTCTAAGTCCCCAGATTTCTGTGCTGTATACTCAGAGTGGGGAGCCCTGTAGATCAGCCTGGGTCGAGGCAAGGCTGAGGTCTTAGGGGCCCAGGTTCACCCCAAAGCCAGGCTCCTTAGCTCCCAAGTGTGTGAAAGCTATAGAATCCATGTGGGATGGCAAACAAACATGTGAGCCAAGCGACTCTTGGCCTCCTTTGAAGGCAAACAGGGTGTCATAACTGGGCCCAGAAAAGTCATGATGTATTTTTCTATGCAGAAATGCGTCATAACTTTTCTGATGACCCAGTAAAAAGCCTTTTTGGGCTGGACCCATAGCCTAGTGGTTAAGGGAACCATATTGTGGTTCGAGTCCCAGCCCTGGTGGCTTGTAAAACATACCAGGTATGTGTGTGTTTTTGCCCCAAATCCTGACAGGATGGAGAAATGAAGGAGAGGGATGTAGTATGTCCACACCCCATTGGGGAATGCTACCTCCATTTCCCTCTCTCTCTGGAGTTCACACACCCTCTGATAATTAAAAAAAAAAAAAAGCTTTGGTGCTTTTCTTTTGATCACATGAAGCACTAACTATTATTAAACTCACGCTGGGCACATGTATGTGTGTGCCCAAAATTCTGAGAGGAGAATGGAGAAGGGGTTGTGGTGTGGCCATCCGCCCTGGGGAGTGATTTCTCACTTTCTGTTTCTCTGTCTCTCTCTGTCTTTCTGGCAAGCGCAGGAATCCTACAGCAAAAAAACTCTCAAAAAATATTACTGTTAAAATATTACCTATAACTTATTGATGGAGTCCCCACGGCCAAAATTTCAACCCTGTGCTGCCTAAGTACAAAAGCCAGCTCCATCGGCCTTTGCCTACCCTGCTTCATCATGAGGACAGGTTAGATGGTGGGTTATCAATGGGGCAGGGTGAGATGGATCTAGCAATGGTATACATTGGAAGCCGTGTCCAGTCCCTTTCTGAATCCCCATTGGCCAGCACCGTTCCTGGCACGCAGGGGGTATTTAAATTAATTTTGTCAAAAAGAATGGGGATGAATGGATGTTACAGATGAGGTTCAGGACATCCTCGGTTGCTCAAATTGTTCATGTTTTCTGGAAGAGGGGAACCTGCTAAATAATAATTTGTTGCTCCATCCCCTTCTGATAAGTGGAGACTTTGGATTGGAATTATATTCAGAGCTTTCCAGACACCTCTGGGGGCAGGGCAGAGAGCCATGACCTTCAGAGGGTTAGGTGGGAAGCTCTGTTATGGATTGAGCAACAGCCGAAGTTGGTTCCTGTGCAGCCTGGAGGGTCCAGGTGTTGGCTGAGCTCATGCTAATGTCCAGGGTCATGATCCCTTGGGAATCCCTCTGCTCCACAGTGTCCCACATGGCTCTTGCAGCAGCTGCATCTCAGCACAGGCTGATTCTCCTCTCGGGCACATATCGCTCAGGTCATGGGGTCTCAGAGTAGGAAGGAGCCTTACTGGGCCTGTCCCCTGTGTGATGTCATGAAAATGAGCCCCGCAGACCTCCAGCCACAGACAGCATTATGACTAAGGGCCCCAGATACTGTGCCGGAAATCCATGGCTGGGTTTGTGCTGAGGCCACACTTCCTTTGATTGAGTGTGGCAGGGACATTGAGGCAACTTATTCTGAGGGACATAGGACTTCTCTGAAGCCAACTTTGTCTAGACAATCCCCCAGGGGCCTTGCAGAACCATCCTAGACACACAGCAGTCTAGGATGCTTTCCCCTGGACTTTCATCCTCTCCCCACCACTTAGGGTCAGACTCACATCCTGGCCCCACGGTCTCCAGCCCTCCCATTTCCTCCCCATTTTCCTCTCATAGATGTCTTGGCATGGCTCTCAGAGGACATGCTGCCTCTATGCAGGGCTGCCCCCAACATGAGGGTCCCAGTCATTCTGTAAAGGACAAATGGGAAGAGAGTCCCACCATCTTTCTCCATCATGCATTCTGATAACTCATGGTCATCCTGGCCCAAGGAGGTGACTGGGGGCGTCTAAGCTAACTGCCTCTGCGGTGGTGAGAATCCACACCTGACTGATGAATAAGGGGAGCAGGACATCAGCCAGGTCAGGGTGGGGCCCAGGAGAAGTTGAGTGCCTACCTCATCCCCCAAACAGGTCTCTATCAGCAGGCCCCAGAAGTCTGTGAAGGTGACCTTGTAGCCTTCTTGGCTGCGCTGCCGGAGCTCCTCCTGGAATTTGCAGAGCTGGTCTGGGAACAGAGAGGGCAGCTTGTCTTTGACCACATGTCTCCGGGCCTCGAAGACAGCAGGCTCCAGGTTTTTGGAGGACCAGTCAGCATCACGGTACAAGGTAGCCATGGTCCTGGAGAGAGACAGGCTGGGCTGACAGAGCTGGCCCACCCTGGTCTGGTCAGCCCTGCCTCTCTGAGCAGAGAGAAGGTGAGTAGGTCATCAGGAACCCTAAACTGCCAGGGGAGGAACCTGAAGAAAAGGGGATGGGGCAGAGGCCTGGTTTTAGGGGGTGAGTTATTACTCATAATCACAATTGCTGCCATTTCTGAAATGCCTACTGTGTGCCAGGCATAGCATATTACTTAAGATGAGGATAGTGGAACCAGTAGGTAGCATAATGGATAAGGTGCTGAACTCCCACACAGTCGACTACGGTTCAAGTCCCAGACCCAGCTGCTTGGAAGACACATTGGTGCATGTAAGTATGTGCCCAAAAGCCTGAAAAGAGAAATGGAGGAGAAGGGATTGAGGCATGGCCATCCTCGGCGGGGATGATTTCTCACCTTCTCTCTCTCTCTCTCTCTCTCTGTGTGTGTCACCAGCAAGTGCATATGCCCTACACCCAAAATCTCTCTTAAAAAAAAAAAAAGATGAGAATTGTGAACCCAGATCTTCCTGGGTTCAAAACCAGGTTCTGTACACACTGCCTTTGTGATCTTGGGAAGTTACTAAATCATTCTACATTGGTTTCTCTATTGTGGAATGGGGAGGAATTACGATCAGTGTCCCCACCTTATGGATTCTTGTGAAGACTGCATGTGCTATGAAGCTTGGCAGGGCAGAGGCTGTGGGTAGTACAGGACCTGGCACAAAGTCAGGTCTGGAGCCAACGCGGGAACCAAGTCTTGGGTGACTCCAGGCTCTGGGCTCTTTCTTTTCTGCCACATGAATTCCCATAATTATGATATTGACCAAAGAATTATTTCCCCTCTTCTTTAAAAAGAAATTGCTACAGGGAGTGTGTGCTCTCTGGAGAGAGACAGAGGTGGAGGGAGTAGTGAGAAAGTACCCCCTGTGGGGGATGGTCACACCGCAATCCCTTTTTCTCTATTTCTGTTTTTTGGACTTTGGGCTACATACTTGCATGCACCCAGTGTGTCTGGGGTTTGAACCATGCAGTTGACTATGTGGGACTCAGTCACCTCAACCACCGTGGTGCCAACTAGCCCTGCCCCTTCTTCTTAACTTAGATGTGGGCCACAGTAAGGGAGCAAATAAAAAATGGTGGTACCCTTCCCTGGGGTCTTGCCTCTGTCTCTTCTTGGCCTAGATCCAGCTTCAGGACAGGGAAGGGCCCTCTTTCATTCTGCACCCAAGAACTATCCCCTTGTAGCAGGACTTTTCTGTGGCTACACAGTTATATAAACAGGGCCTCTTCCTTTATAAGACTTGTTTGGGGACCAGCAGTTGGTGTAATGGCTATGTTGCTGGACTCCCATGTAGTCAAATGCGGTTCGAGTCCTGGACCCGGTGGCTTAAACTCACACCAGGCACGTGTGCGTGCATGCCTAAGATCCTGAGAGGAGAATGGAGGAGAAAGGATTGCCGCGTGGCCATCTCCCCTGGGGGGTGATTTCTGGCTTTCTGTCTCTCTCCGTCTGGTGAGCGCATGTGCCCTATAGCAAAAACCTCTCAAAAAAAAAAAAAAAAGACTTGTTTGGAGGATGGTGGGAGTTGGTTGGGAAAGTTCTTCAAGAAAAATCACCCTGTTCTCCATTAGGCACTCCCTGTTACTTTTATACTTTCAAAAAGTTTCCAAAAACCATTGCAAATAGTTGGGGGGTTTTGGAGAGATTTTTGCTCTAAGGGTGTGTACACTCACTGGAGAAACAGAGAGATAGAAAGCAAAAAAATCACCCTGCAGGGGAATGGCCACACTTCAAGGGATTTTGGGCATGCGCACATGCGTCTGGTGTATTTCAAGACACAGGGTCCAGAACTGGAACCATGGTCGATCATGTGGGAGTCCAGCACCTTAACCACTACACCACCTGCTGGCCCCACAAATGGTTGATGTTGAATGAAAACTTCTCATGATTTCCTCAGGCCAGGGGACTCTCCACTTTCCCACTCTCACCCCAGCAGGGACTTCCTGCCTGGCTCACAAGTGTCCAGGAGGATGCAGGTTCCCCTCAACCCCACTGTAAGCGACTTCATTTCTTAACTTACTAAGAATGTGGGCCCTGGACTGGGTTCAGATTCTACCGTCCACTAACTGAGTAGCCCTGGGCAATTACAGCTATAAAATGACAATAGCACCTCCCTCCTCATTTTGTTGTCAGGAAGAAACAAAAGAAAGAAGCAGTCACCCTGTGCTTAGTACAGAGGCAACGCCAGTAACTGTCAGAGTGGAAGCCTCCAGCCTTGACCAGGTGGAGATGGCTGCCCTGGGCTTTCCTGGGGCCAGTTCATGTCCACTCACTGAAACGAGAATTACCCAGGATTCCTCCAGGATACAAAGCACAGCTCAGGACCTTGAGGGCTCCCAGGTCCACCAGTCATAAGTAGAGGGAGATGCAGCCCTGGCTGAGAGGTCTTGGGTGGTCACAGGTTTACCCAGAACCAGGGCCATATAATGATTTTGGTGGACCCCTTCCACCATAAAAAAATATTAAAATTTATATTTTATGACTGTGCTATATAAAGACAACTATATTGGGGCTACCAGGTGGCATAATGGCTGGCCATGGTTCGAATTCCAGACCAGGAGGCTTGAAACTCACACCGGGCATGTGTGCGTGTGTGCCAAAAATCCCGAGAGGAGAATGGAGAAGGAGCTGCACATGGCCATCTGCTGGGGGGGGGTGGGGTGGATTTCTCACTTTATCTCTCTCTGTCTCTCTCTGTGTCTCTGGTGAGTGCATGTGTACTATAGCAAAATTTTTTTAAAAAATAAAGTGTAATTAACATTGCTTATTAAAACAATTTCTTCAACACTTTTTTCCTTTTGATTTTAGAAGAAATTAACACATTTTTGTGGGCCTTTAAAAGTCCTAGGAGTCCCAGGTAGTACTGAGTCTCCTGTGGGTAAGTCGACCTCACCCTGGCTCTCTCCTTTTGCTTGCCAGCAGAGATGAGGAGCTGGGATCCCCACGGCAGACCCTGCCCACTCCTCTAGGCTGCCTGGGGAAGCTTGGCAGGGCAGAGGCTGTGGGTAGGGAAGAGGTGGTAGGTCTCCAGGGAAGGGAGCCAAAGCTGGGCTAGCTCCACCGACCCTGGGAGACGGCACAGCCTGAAACACATGGATGCATGTGCCTAGCAGGATGGGGCCAGGGGCATGAGTGGTCCACTCATTGCTACCATGTTCCTTGGTCCCTACCGCAGGCCCAGGAAATAGTAATACCAGTAAAGGCCAACATATAGCATGTCTCTTGTGTCCCTAGTAGTGGGAGGCTTCTCACAACAACCCCTAAGGTCCATGTTACTGTAATATTACCCCCACTTTACAGATACAGAAACTTAGTCCCCGGGAGTTAAGCTACACGTCCACAGACCACAGTGGCATGCAGTAGGGCTTCTAGGCTTCACGAGTCGCTTTAACCTGGGGCATGGAGGAGGAACTTCATCAGCGACCCCAGGCCGCCTGTTTGCTGCTTGATCTGGGCTCCACCAGATGCTGGCTCCCAGCTCCTTACCAGGTGGCCCCTGACAGACCCGTGATGTAGCTGGCACAGTTGAGGATGTTCAGTTTCTGCAGCCCCAGCAGGTGGCCATACATGGCAGTCATGGATCTTGTTCCACCCCCAGTGGCCATGATGGCAATCCGCGGAATCTGGGGACACACAGGCAGAGTGTTGACGAGGGCTCCAGAGGAATATTTAGAATGTAGAGGAGGGAGAACTGGCTACAGAGACAGGGGGTGGGGCATTGAGCCTCCTGAAAACAAATTTTCCACAGAGCTGTGAGGCACTAGTGGGTCTAGAATGAGACCCGCGCTCTAAACCCATCGATAGGTGTTAGTAAAAGGCTCTGCAACCTAACACAGGCTCGGGAAATTACAGAATGTCTCAGCACTGCTAATCTAGCCCTCAGTTAACTAACAGTGAGCCTGGGGTCTCCGAGGCTGAGCAGTTGCTCAAGAACCCAGCTAACGTGTAATTCCTTAATGGTGACAGATGAGCATATCCTGTAGATAGGTTTGATGTTGGGACACCAGGTCCAGGCTTGGTACATGGTCTGCTCAATATAGACTATATTTGCTAGTGCAGGAGTAAATTAACTTTCGCTATGGGAAGGAGCAGGGTTGCCATCTCTGTGTTGACATAGGTTTAAGAGACCATGGGTCTGCTTCCCTACTAAGGGAGGAGGGGGCTCTGCAGAGACTCACTCTAACTCTTCATTTGAGTGGGGACCGTAAAATTCTTCTGTCATCTAAAGTCTAATTATCAGCTGTCCTTAGGCAAGCATGAGGTCTCCCTCTGCACAGACAGGCACTCAGGGTGCTCATCTGCTGCCCAGGGGAGTGTGGGCTCCAGGGGAGTCTCCTTCCATGGGAAGAAGTGACTGGCCCTGGCAGTGGAAGTTGCTTTTCTCCTACTTCCTACTGCTGTTATTTCTGGAGGTGCATCTACAAGAGGACTTCAAAGAGTTTGAGGAAAAATGGAACTAAAGTATGAGTTTATTTTGGTGTAAACAAATTTTGAAATCCATACATAGTTTCTCATAATACACATTTTCTGTGGACTATTTAAAGACCCATCGCTCATGTGAATATTTGAGAGAAGAGAGGATGGAAAGATGAAGGACCTAAGGCCTCTTGGTGGAGTGTTGGGAGCAAAAGGCATAATGTCGTCCTGGCTGGGGCAATGAGTCCATTTTGTCCCTGTGTGGGAGGGCACCTGTAGTCACCTCAGGGTCTGTTAGCACCCAGGAAGAGCAATGGCGGCATCTCCTTTCTGTGTCTATTCTGCTCTCCCCATCCCTTATGAACATGCAATGGAATTACATCCAGCACAGTCCTGACCAGGACACCTGGAACTTCAGCAGTGACAGTGTCCACAGAGGTGGCGATGAGGCCACCCTGGGGCAGGGAGGGGCCTAGGAGGCTGGCAAAGTGTAGTGTTAGCAGGTCAGGCAGTGGGCACAGCTGGCATGGGTTCTGAGCCCAGGGCAGTGACCTCTTTACCTACCTCATCATCCTGCAGGTCCTCCTCCAGTTGCAGCACCTGCTTCAGTGCCTCAGCTACCACCACCTTCCTCTTCTGCAGGAACTCCAGCTCTTCTGGGCACAGGTTGAAGCCCAACCGGACGTCCAAGGCCTCTGGGCTATGGGGAAAGAGCACCCTGGTTAAGAAGAGGCCTGTAGCATCCACCTCTATGGATCAGACACAGCATTAAGATCAGTTGGAACTAAGCTTGAAACCTAGCTCTGTCATGAACCACCTCTGCAACCTTGGGCTCCACTTTCACATCTGTAAGTTGGAGCGAATCATATTTAACTCTCAGCACTGTCTTTAGCACTTAATGAGATATCAAATGTAAAGCCCCCAAAGCCTTTGGTGGCATGCTGTATGCTGGTACTTGTCAAAAGATAGGCTAGCAGGTGGTAGAGTGGTTAAGGCATTGGACTCCCACGTTTGACCACAGTTTGAGTCTCGAACCTAGTGGCTTGAAAAAATCACACCAGGTGCATGTGCACACATGCCCAAAATTCCAGAGGAGAATGGAGAAGGTAGAATTGCAGTGTGGCCATCCCTCCAGGTAGTGATCTCTCACTTTCCCTCTCACTGTCTCTGTCTCTCTACTGTCTGGAGAGCGCACGTGCCCTGTCGGAAAACCCTGCAAAAAGTAAAAATAAATGTTAGTACTTGTAATTAGTACTTGTAACAGGGTTTCTTTGAACTCTCCTCAGCAAGGTCTGGAAAGACTTCTTCCAGGTGCCTTAGATAGCCTGAGGCCAGGCATGGGTGACGAAAGGCCTGGGGATTCTTTTGACAAAGACTTCTGGGCCAGGCTCTACAGTATGGACTTCAGAGCTAGATAAACAAACAGATGGGAGTTTCCATGGAGCTCCCATTCTTCATCAAGTCTTCCTGATCCCAGGATAATAATTCTGTGTTTGTGTGCAACTGACAAAACCCTGCACATCCTGATCCCATGGTGTCATCCTCAGAGGTCTGTAAGGCAGGCGAGGCAGGAGCTACTGTGACAGGCCCAGTGCTTGTCCTATTTTTAATCCCATCCCTGAACAGTCTAGTCTCCTGGACTGGTGTCTGAGACCCTTCCTGACCTGTCCCAGCTCATCTCAAGCTGCTTCTTAGAAGGGGCCTGTCAAGCCCTCGGAGAGCTCTGGGCTCTGAGCCTTTGTACAGGCCCTTGCCTTCACTGGCAGCATCCTCCTTTTGCCCACCTACATCTCTTGCATCCTCATAGGCTTATCTTCCCACTGACGCCAGGTGGGTGGCCCTTGACAATTACTGAGCTGAGTCTTGGCTAACTCACAAAGTCACATTTCCTCAAGGGCAGGGCCTGGAGCTCTCTCATCATGTCTCTTCTGTGTCTTACACAGACTACAGACAGAGCTGCAAGGAAATAATTCTTTCCTTGGCCTCCACAAAGAAGAAATGGTAATACAGAAATAGTAGCAACAATAACTTTAGTTGATAACTGCTGAGTGTTCCACTTGTGAACAGATCACTGAGTATTTCGCATGTGCTATCTCACTGGATCCTCAAAGCAACCCGATTTACGGATTATTTATTGCTCCCAATTTCCACATTAGGCATTCGGAGACTTAAGGTTAAATAACTCGTCTAAGGACCAATAGCTAATCAAACTGTAAATAGAAGTTATGGTCACTTAATTTTCAACAACTGTGCCAAGATAATTCAAGGAGGGAAGGAAGTCTTTTTGACAACTAGAGAGCCACATGCACAGAATGTAGTTGGACTCTTATTTCACACTGCATACAAAAATCAGCCAAAGGGAACCAGCAGTTAGTGTAATGGCTATGTCGCTGGACTCCCACGTAGTAGACCGCGGTTCACATCCCGGACCCGGTGGCTTAAAACTCACGCTGGGCGCATGTGCGTGCGTGCCCAAGATCCCAAGAGGAGAATGGAGGAGAAGGGATTGAGGCGTGACCATCCCCCTGGGGGGTGATTTCTCGCTTTCTGTCTCTCTGTCTCTCTCTGTCTGTCTGGCGAGCGCACGCGCCCTATAGCAAAAACCTCTCAAAAAAAAATCAACTGAAAATTGATCACAGACCTAAATGTGAGAGCAAAAATTATACAGGTCATAGAAGAAACAAGGGAGTAAATCATGACCTTGGGTTAGGCCATGGTTTCATACCGTGAGCACAAACCACAAAAGAAAAATTAAATAGACTTTACCAAAATTTAAAACCTGTGAGTTTCAAAGCACTCTATCAAGAATGTGAAAAGATAACTCATAGAACAGGTGAGAATATTTGCAAATCATATATCTGACAAGAAATTTGTATCCAAAATATACAAAGAATTCTTACAACTTAATAAAAAGACAAATAATGGGGCTGGCAAGTGGCATGGTGGTTAAGGGTGCTGGATTCTCACATGGCCGACCATGGTTTGAGTCCCGGAGCTGGTGGCTTGCTTTCTCATTCTCTCTCTCACTCTCTCTCTCTCTCGCTCACTCTGGCCCTCTCTGGTCAAATAAATAAATAAAGTTAAATAAAATAATTCTTTTTTTGTTTGTTTGTTTGTTTATTAGAGAGTTTTGTTGTTGTTGTTGTTTGTTTTTTTGCTATAGAGTGTGTGCACTCCCCAGAAAGACAGAGAAAGACAGAGAGACAGAAAGCGAGAAATCAGCCCCCAGGGGGGATGGCCATGCCACAATCCCTTCTCCTCCATTCTCCTCTCAGGATCCTGGGTATGCACATGCACGCTGGTGCCCGGCGTGAGTTTAAGCCACCGGGTCTGGGACTCGAACCGTGGTCGACTACATGGGAGTTCAGCGACATAGCCATTACGCTAACTGCTGGACTCAAATAAAATAATTCTCAAAAAATAGACAGATACCTTATAAAGTGGGCAAAGGATTTGAATAGACATGTCTTCAAAGAAGATACACAAATAGCCAATGAGCCCATGAAAAAAATGCTCAACATTACTACCCAGCAGGGAAATGCAACTCAAAACCACATAGAGATACCCCTTCCCAGTTAGAGGGGCGGGTAGAAAGCAGGTACTTTACCAGGGTGTAGACTTCATGTGCAATTCATAATTCTCACCCTGGGGAGCGAAAAGTGAAAAGCTTGTCAGGGCTGACAATTCAAGGCCAAGCGATCCCAACAAAGAAGTAAAGATGTCTACCTGGACTTGACACGGTACACATGTGTGTGCATACATATGCACATACACATGCATGCTCTATCCCCACTTCCCTCCTCTGGATGTGATCTTCCCCACCATCTTCAATTCAGCCTCTACACACTTCTTGGCTCTACCCTGTAGCTCATCAGACTCCTCTGTACCCCACAAGACTCTTCTACCCTGTCTGCAACCCCCAAGTGTCACCTTCCCCATGGGTCCCCAAGCTCTCCCCATCTTCTTGTCACAGGCAAAGCTGCCCAGGGTCCCTCCCCAGTTCAGGCTCTCACCACAGGCAGGGTGGTCATCTGGCCCTCACAGAGACAATCAAGGGACTGGAAGACAGAGTCCTTCTGGTGTGTACCACAGCAGCAAAGCTGGAAGGATGGACAGGTTCTGTGAGAGGAGCCCCGCCTGCCCCGTCCCCTATGGCTCCCCACCCACACGCCCTGTGTGGCAGCCTCATACCCTGCAGCTCCAGTGGCTCTTGGGTGCCTCCGCATGTAACTGGGGCTGGAAGTATGTAGGGTAGTGGAAGCAGGCTGGGTCTGGGCAGCAGGGCTGCCTACAGGGTGAGACGCGCTGGGTGTTCTCAAAGGACTCACTCCCCGCCACTAAGAGATCCTTCTCTGGGAGAGAGGACAACAGGGTAAGACCCTGGGGCCAGCAGGTGGTGTGGTGTTTGAGGGCGCTGGACTCCCACATGGCCAACCACGGTTCGAGTACTGGGCCTGGAGGCTTGCTTTCTCTTTCTCTCTCTCTCTCTCACTCTGTCCCTCCTTGGTCAAATTAAAATAAATAAAGTTAAATAAAATAATTCTTTAAAAAAATAAAAAACAGGGTAAGACCCTCAGGAGGTTTTTCTCTTCTGTCCCCACAGCATCCAGCACAAGGACTATCTGGAGGTGCTTGGGAGGGGACATTTATAATCATCTGGGTACTGATTAAAATGCCCCAGGGACTCCCATTCTGCAGGGCCTAGGAATCTGCATTTTAAAGGATTTCATGAAGAATGCTAACAAATGTGCTCTGCAGAAAACCCTTTAAGATGTTGACAGAATCCTCTGGACCAATCTTCTTTGGTCCTGCTTTGCCAGAAGACCCTCCTCCCCATCCCTACCCCCCACACTGTAGAGAAAGCAAGCCTTTGTAGCACTGTCAGTCTGTCCGTTTATGAGTAGAGGCCTCTTCCTCCCTCCCCTGCATCTGTGGGGCCACACTACCCTCTTTTCTTGGGACAAAGCTGGAAGACAGGATGGGGCTCGGCAATAAGTGGGAAGACTGGTACTCGTAGTCCCTGCCAGCCTCAGAATGCCGGCTGAGACTCTGCAAACTGTGAACTGGCTAGAGGGAGGGCCAGCTGGAGGGCCCTGGGCGTTGTTGGCACTTGCCTCCCAGATTACCAACCCCTGCACTAGACCAGGCTGCCCGAGGTCTTGGCCAGGTTCTGCACAGATGGGGTGGGCAGAGTGGGCAGCACTAGCCCAGGCCCAAATACGCTCCACGTCTAGACAGCCTGGAGAGGACAAGAGTTTGTAAGCCCCAGGACAGGGGAGGTTCTGAGGAGTTCGGCCAAGCTTTAGGTTCTCCTAAGCAAGAGAAGCCTCAGAGCAGGCCAAGCCTGATGTTGAGGGGGTTTGGGAGCAGCATTCCCCTCCCTGCCAGCAGCCAGAGGAGATCAAAGGGCTCACTTTTCTCACTCTTCTTCTTCCTCCTGGATTCTGCATGAACCTCCAGGCAGGAGACTTGTCGAGACTGTAACAAAGCAAGAGAAAGTCATTGAGAGCTGAGTATAAGTCACCTCCTCGCTCTTCTGGGCCAAAGAGGGGAGATGATTAACCCAGCACTAGTCTGACTTTGGATGGATGCCAGGACACACCGTGTGTGCTGAACACAATTTCTAAACCCTACTGAGGTACTCCATTTCACTAAGAGCTAAGGTATTTGAAAATGATGTTGTCCTTTAAAATCTAGGATGGATGATCACAGTTCACTAGGGGTTATATTCTCAGCTGCAGGTCAGGGATTGACCTGGGGGAATGTTTTTAATTCATGATAGAGTGCATGCATGCATACATTAGGGAAAGTGAGAAACACTCTTCGCAGGGCTTGGCCATACTACAATCCCTTTCCTCCAGTCCTCCAGTCCTCCAGCCCACCAGACCTTGGGTACTTGGTGCATATACCTGGTATGTTGCAGGCTGACTGGGCAAGGGATTTAAACCATGGTCACCATATGGGATCCAGCTTCCCTTGTGCAGTGTGATACTGCTGTGCCAGGGGACCAGCCCCAGCCATGGGCTTTGAAAGTGAGAACACCCAACAAAATAGCCTTCTCATGAACCAAAGTAAGGTTGAATTACTCTGCCACAAATTCCCAAAGACTCTGCTCTATGAAGCAGAAATCTCCTTGAACTCCAGGGCATTAAATGCATTCAATTAAAATAGCTGTGCCAACAGCTGAATGATGAAAAAAGTTTAACACTGAAACTGTGCTTTGTAGAGGTATAGGGGTGGCAGGGAACAGGACTAGGACTGAGGAGGAGGCTGCTTTAGTGGGTTCTTTTATTGGGGAGGTTCTCAAAAAGAGGGTCGTCTGTGTGGGAGATGGGCTGCCAGGCCAGGGTGATGTCCTGGGTGCAGGAGCCCAGGTTGCTGCCCTCACCCCTTCCTGCTCCCCACTTGTCTGGCCTCATTTGGTCTGACTCCTACTGGACCCAGGACAGGATGAGGATCCAAGCTGGGCCTGGTGTTGTCTCCCTCAGTTCTGTTCCCCTGAGAACAGCAGCCAGATGCAGCCTCTGGAGCTACAGGAACCCAGAAGGATAATTACCACCAGCACGCCATTGGTGATGAGGGTCTCAGGTGGACAGGGGCTGAAAAACAAAATGAGAACTCCAGGTCGGTTCGAGCATAATTGACTGATTTCTCATAAAGGTAACAAAGTATAAATAGGACCAACAATAAAATAGCCGTTCTCTTGATTCTCATGAAAAAATGGTAGCTTTAGAAGCCTTAGATTTATAGCTTGTAAAGGAGAAAACAGGCATACGTTTTAAGAAGAATGTCAAGGGGAAAGTAGATTTATAGGTTAAGAGTAGGAGAGTTCCATTTTTTAAAAAAAGGTAACTGCTCTTTATGTTCAACCACATGAAACCACACAGAGTGGCAAACAGGCTGCAAGAAATGGCCATAGCTCACCAGCTAGAGTTAGACGTGGACTTCTGGCAACAAAAATGACCACTCTGTGCTTTATTTAATTTAGGCATTTGCTAAACAGGTCTAAGTCAGCCAGAGAGGAGCCTAGTAGTACAAAGTCAAGCCTTCAAGGTTATCCTTAGCCTAGGGGAGTCCACAGCCACCCTTCTCAAAATTAAGCCCCAAAGGACTGTATCTTCAGATCGACTCTCATTACTAATCTTGACATACTTCATTCTGCAAGTCACTTTTTATTATGGCCAAGGAATCCCCAAATCCTGCCAAACCAAGAATTAGAGAAGAGAGTCTGGATTTATTTCAGTGTGAAATAAATATTGATTTTTTAATTTGTTAAACAGCTGCTGATGGGAAAAATGGTCTCTCAGCTAGTTCCAAGATCCCCTAGACAGGACTCTCTGGGTGGAATCTGACAAGTTCTGTTGGCCTACTTCATGCCTCTCATCCCACCCAAGCCTGGACTGATCACAGTGCAGGAGTGCTCAGCCTTGCCAGGGCTGAGAAGAGGGAGGACAGGCTGCCAGGGACAAGGCATGCTGCCATCCTGGGGCAGGCTTGTCTCCTCTGGGCAGGGCCCCACTCCCCTCCCTCCTGCCTCTACCCTTTCTTTTAGCTTTCTTGGTCTTATCTTTCCTGTCTTCCAGCTCCAAGTCCCTAACACAGTCACCTTCTAGAACCCTAGGTCAATTTCCTAATTGACAATGCAGGAAGGGCCCCTTGGATGTTGGGCCTGAGTCTCCCCCAACTTGGCTCCATAGCTGGCTCCAGAGAGAAACAGCCTTTGCTTTAGGCCAGGGCTTGAGGATGTTTGTTTTCACAGTACTGGGTCAAGAAGGAAAGCCCTTTGTCCTGGCTTTTTTCTTAGCTGGGCCTCAACAAGGCCCCCATCACCACAGTGGCAGGAAATCTTCCCAGAATCACCCTCAGGAATGCAGGAGGGCTGAGGTGAACTCTTGTCAGAGTGCTAGATAATTAACGCAATGCTGATGGCAGGAGACGGGAGGAATAGGAGTGGGGTCCATATGTCCACACTCTTTGGAAGGTCCCAAGTGATTCTGATGCTATGAGGATTCCAAGGTCAGTGTCAGGAGTGAGACTAGGAAAGAGAGGATGGCAAAAAGATGGACTGGCTCTGAAGACCCTAGAAAACCAGGACCCTGGTGGAACCTAGGGAGCTGGGACCTACTTACCTCTCCTCCAGCAGGAACTCCACCTCTAGCTCCTCCATGCCCTGACAGGGGGAGAAAGAGCAGGGAACTGTAAGTCATGTCTGTACATCTCTGTGCCCCAGGAGCCCCCATGGACCTGCCCCATCCTTCCTACATGGTTGCCTGGCTGCTACGACATGGGTGGCCACTCCTGTCTCCTGTTGTCCCCTCTGCCTTTCTCTGTTCCCAAGACTTTGGCATCAGGACATCACTGATAATCCGGGAGAAGGCCAGGATATAGAGTTGACCCCCAAGCCCTACGTGTGATTCCCCGTGTGACTCCTCTCCTGCCTTCCCAAGGATTTGGTGCCTGGACGAGAGAGCACTGAGAAAGTGCCTCATCCCCATTCTTTACATCTCTTGTTGTGTAACTGGAGGCAAGGCGGGACCTCACTGGCCCTCAGTCGCTGCTAGAATGTAAGCTTGGCAGGGGAAGGGATGGTCTTTGGTGACCCTAGTGCCTGGCCCACAGCAGGTATTTAAGTACTTGTTGAATGACTAAATCTCTAACGGTCTGGTCCTCTCCAGCTCTGACTTTCTCTGAGTGCAGATTTGCCCTCCTTTACCCTCATCTGGTCTCTGTTCCCTGGCGTGAACCCAAGAACAAGACTCTACAGGAAGTAAAGAGAGAAAGGGAACCAACAGTTACTACGTCTTCATTTTATATCATGAGTATGGTCAGGTGCCTTCACGATGTTTTCTCATTTAATCCTCCCAATAGCCCTGTGTGGTAGGTATTATTAATGTCATTGTACAGGGTGAAAACACAGAAACTCGGAGGAGTTAAGTCATTTTTACAAGGTCACACAGCTAGTAAGCAATAGCACTGAGATTTGAACTAATGGCTCCATCTCTTCCAGACTTGGCTGCATACATACAAAGGAGCCCATAAAAATGGCATTATGGGAATAACCAGTGGTTCCTCACAAGGCAGGAGGCTGGAGGCCTGGGCTCTTACACCTACCTCTGGGTTAAGTGGAAATTTCACATGGGTTTTCTTTCGAAAGCAGAGCTTGGTGAGGTCATAGAGAACTGTCAAGAGATGGTCATCTGGTGTCACCGTGTCTTCATCGCACACACTCAGCTCCAGCACATTCTAGAGGAAAAGGAAGGTACAAGTTGGGTTACCACTGAGCCAATCCCAGGGCAAGAGGCCTGACCTTAGTCCTAGCAAGAAGGTAGGGCTGAGGAATGGGGGAAGTCCTGCTCAGGTGTGAGAGACATTTGTAGACAAATGGGTCAAGGGAGGAAAAAGTCTATTTCTTCTTTCCAATTCTCTGAGCCTTCTTGCCCTCTGTTCTGACTCCTACTGGAAAGTGATGCCCTTTCACAAGCTTGGCAAGCTTGTCTGTGAAGTGTGGAGGATTTCATTTTACCTGGGGAAAGAATGAAAGGGGCAGAGGAACCAAGACTCCTGTCAGGATATAGCACTTGTCTAGCGTCCAACATTGGAGCCCTGGATGCTAAAGATAGCTCTTTTGATGAGAGAAATCCCAGGTCAGGGAAGCTAACATCTTAAACTCAACTGTAATGTGGCAATGATTTTAGCTATGATAACTGGTGGGTTTGGAGGTGGCGTTTGACTTAAACTCTAAGGTTAATGGTCTCAAGTAACCTGGACTAGTCTCGTAGGCATTATTTTCCAGTAGGAGCTTCAGAGCAGAGGGCTAAAAGGTTCAGAGAAATGGGACCCCAGAGCCTTCCCAGATGACTACAGCATTGTATAGAGGTACTCCACCACCTGCACCAGTATGGGTGGACCCCAAATTTGTCTTAAGTGCTCTCTGCTAAAGCTGTCACAGCTCAGGCTGTTCAACAGAGACTTTCCCCATAGAAGATATGAACTTGATTTGGAGTCACCAAGTATCTGAAGATCAACACCATGAAATAACAATCGAAGAAATGCAAGAACATACATCCAAAGGAAATAGAAATTGTAAAGCAGCCTGAAAAAGATTTAAGAGAGAGTAAACCCTCTAGCTGGAATTAGATTGATTAGAACCAAGTGAACAGAATGGTTCTTTGTATTCTCCTGCTTGAAGCATGCTTTAGAAGGTAGTGGAAAGACAATCTGTTTTGGGACAAGAGATGCCTAGTTCCAGCAACAATTATATAGAAGGACAAGAGAAATCAGAAAGAAAGTAGAAGAATAAATGGACTCGGAGGACAGATATGAGATTGGCAAAAGAAGTAGTGGGTGAATGGGAAAACAGTCTGGGAGGACAAGAAGTAGGTAGAAAGAAAAACAAACAGGCACAAGAAGAATACAAAAGCAAAGAGGACAAACAGACCAGAGCGGGGGTAGACAGGCTGGCAGCATGGAGAGATGCAATCCTCCATGTCTCACCTTCACTTGGCTCTGGATCTGGAAGTTGAAGCTTTCATTCCACTCTGGGTTTGGGCAGTTAGAGATGGTTGTCGTCCTCAGCTTCTTCTGAGAGGCGGTAGGCAGCCAGAGGCTCACAAAGCAATCTGTTTGGCTCACTGTTCAAGGAAGGCAAGGGTGGCAAGAAAGGATGAGGAACCAATGCAGGGTTAGAGAGGCAAGAAGGTTGAGTTGAACTATAGACAAATCTATTCTGCAGCAAGGCCTCATCTCAGCTCCAGGTTCTCTCCTAAATAATGGGTCTAACTCTCCAGAGACCTTGGTGTCAGAACGCCAAGGTCACAGACACAGGTTTCACAGACAATACCCAGATTCCAGTGACCATTCTTACGGCCACAGATGTCCTCTGGATCTTATCAGAAGTACCTCTGTCTCTGAGCAAACACCTGCTGGTTTGGGACAAGATATAGCCATACAGCTTTCCCTCTGCCAGGGGAGGATCCAGAAGGCCAGCCTCAATGGGTCCAGTTTACTTCCTGTCTTAGCCCAAGGCACCAGAGAAACCAAAATAGGGCCAGACCTTTCCTCTGAGTTGAAGAGAAGTGAGATGAGAAGGGAACACAGTCTGCTGTGAGTAAAAAGAAAACAACCTCAGTGGGAAAGGGCTTGAGTGGAACAAGTTACTCAGCAGGCTCCTAGAGCAGGGACAGTTTCCAAATGGCTTAAACCTCCACTGCACCTGGCCAGCCTCTTCATACCTATCATGGTCTCCCAGAATGAGGTTTATCACCCCCAGAAACCCTCACATCTATGGCCAAGTTTTCTGGGTTTTTGTTTGTTTGTTTGTTTGTTTGTTTTTGAGACGTTTTTATTATAGGGCGTGTGCGCTTGCCAGAAAGACAGAGAGTGACAGAGAGACAGAAAGCGAGAAATCACCCCCCGGGGGGATGGCCATGCTGCAATCCCTTCTCCTCCATTCTCTCGGGATCTTGGGCATGCATGCACACATGCCTGGCGTGAGTTTAAGCCACCAGGTCTAGGACTTGAACTGCGGCCTACTACGTGGGATTCCAGCAACATAGCCATTACACCAGCTGCTAGTCCCTGGCCAAGTATCTTTCAAAATTCTCAATGAACCGCCTATGTGTGGTGCTCTGGAAAAGGGACAAAGGCTTTGACCCAAAACATCCTTCCCAACAGGAGGAAGTCCTTCTAACTCTTCTGGCTGGAGCACCAGAAGGGATAGGGCGAAAAATAGCAGCCCACCATGGCTCCTTTCTCTATTCTACATGAAAGAGTGAAGAGGTGCCATGTCTGCTTTTGTCACTTTCCTGGCAACCTGCTAGGGTAAGTCCCAGGGTAATACCAGATATACAGAGAATGGTAAAAGTCAGTAGTTTCCAAGGTCAGAGAGTCTTCTAGATCATAAAACTGACATGAGGAAGGGAGTTCAATACTGGTAGGACCAATCCAAACTAGTTCATAATTGTTATTAATTACATCTAGTGAGAGTGGAACCAGGGCTGACCCTGTGACTGACTTAGTCCTACATTGTCACTACACTGAAAGCTTCATCGGAGTCAGTAACCATGGTTTACAAGTGTTTGTGGCTTCTGCATTCACTCCCAATGCCTGGCTAATCTCTGAGGACTCACCCATCATTCAGTGAATTGGAATTCACAGCCCTCTTCCCAATGAATAAAGGTAAATGACACCATTCTGTAGATGTCATAATGATTATCTAACCCAGACAAAAAGTACGATACAAACCCAACAGAATAAAAAGAAAATGATGACTTCATCATCCCCACCCATCCCCTCCATGTCCAACCTGCTCTTCCTCACCACCAAGGCGTCCAGACCAGAAACGAAGTATGTCCTAGACTCGTACACTGAGCTGATGCAGTTCTTTATGCCCATACACTTCTCGCCATCTGCACTGCCACTGCCTCAGTGCAGGCCACCATCACCTCCAGGCCACTTTCTAAATTGGCTCCCTGTCTCCTATCTTGCCCTACTCCGATCTTTCTCCTAAGAGAAGCCAAATGGAGCTTTCTAGATTTGACCTCATCAATGATCACTTCCCAGTTTAAAATCCTTTAATAGCTCCCATCTGCCCTCAGGAAGGCATTCCAGCTACTCACTATTTCTTCCCCTGCCCCTCCCCCAGCCTCATCTTTCCACACTTCCTAATATCCCACGCTTACCCTGAGTGTGCACACGCACACACACACACATGCACATGTACACACACTCACACTCTAGACTCCAGTCAAACTCAATCAGTCACAGGTCTGAAAAGGTGCTCAGCTGTCTTGTCTTCAGGTCTTTGCATGTGTCAGGCTTTCTGCCTGGAACATCCTCCTCTTCCACGTTCATCTACTGTTCTCCTGGCTAACCCTTTTGAGTTTCAGGAGGAACCCTCCAGAAGCCTTCCCTCAGTGCCCAATCTGGGCCAGCTGTCTCTGTCCAGAGCCTTCTGTTCCTCTCCTGGCAGAGAGAAGTACTACACTCCACTGCAACAGCAGGTCAACTTGCCATCTCCATCATACTGTGACCCCTATGAGGGCTTGAACTGTGTCTCTTGGAACACAATAGGCACTCACTAGATATTTGTTGAATAAATAAATGCATGGAAAATCCCAGCTTTCTGCTATAGAGTGGTATCAGAACAAAAAGAATTCTGGGCTGCATCACCACAGGTACAGGTAAGTGGGTCGCCATGTCTAACTGCTCGTCAATATGGAGACTTGACAGGGCCTACTCTTTCTTGGGCCCTCTCCTCCCTTGGCTTTTCCTGGACACAAGCCTCTCCTGGGCCTGGAACATTCTCCTTGGGTCTGCCTCCTGTACATTGGGAGCCTGAAGGCAGGGACCAACCATCTCTATACCTATGGACTCTGGAACACTTGCTTAGCATGCAAGATTTGATAGACCTTGTAAAAGCCCCTTTCCCTCTAAAATGACTCTCCTAGAATCAGTCCATGCCTAAAATTCTCCCATTAAATCCATTAAATCAAATCTTAGTATTTTTGACCTAAGACTTAAATATTTAATTAAGCTAAAAATACTCCCAGGAGAGACAAGATTGATCAGACACCCGGCATTAATTTGTTTTTCAGTTCTTTTTGCAGAGAGCTGTTCTCACACGCCACAGACTGTGGAGTGCAACCCAAGGAGGGAATAATCCTGGGAGAAGGGGTGGTGGAAGGAGAGGGAGGTCAACTGGGGCCCAGATGACAATCTGGGGCAGGAACCATTTGCTGGCTGCAACGACAGTGACCATTGTGTTGGTGGTGACGAAGTGGTTAAGCAATGGTGACCCAAAAACTCCTGGACTCGGGATTTCCTATATAGATATGTTTCGATCCTTGTTCCTCATTGAGTGACAGAGGGCTTGGTCATCTGAATGACAAGTCTCCTTTCCTGGAATGTGGGTGGCAGACATGACTCAATTTCCTCTACAGGTGTCCAGAACATTGTCTCTCTCTAATACCTCTAGAGATACCTGCTTTACACCCCTTGGGGTATTAATTTGTTTTCCAAAGAATTAAAAATCCTGATGACTGGGAGGTTTCTGGGACTCAGCTGTCTCCCAGGGCTGGGTAGAGTACTCTTAGCTAATGATGAGAGGTCATTCCCGAATCTGTGCATTCACTGCCTTTCAGGTTCTTTGAGCACTTGGGAAGCAAAAGCACAGGTTAGAAGTCTACACACGGAAGCTGTTCCTTTTGGATTCAAGCTACAAGGGAACAATTTGAGGCAAGAGTGATCCAGGACCTGAAAGGTATCAGGGGAGTCTCAAATAACCAGAGAAGGTAGCAACACAGCCCAGCCTGTGACGACCACAGAGTCCAGACACCATGTGACGGGGTTGGCAACCCCCTGTGCCTTCCAATTTGCTTGAGGAAATGAAGAAAACATAGCAAGGGGGTTCCCAAAGAGGACCAGGGACTTCCAAAAGGCAGCCTGCATGCTGGAGGGATGTGTGGGGAAGGGGGAGAGGAGACTGCTTAAGTCAGACCACAGCCTATTTCTCTGGCTACCACCTTGTCCTCTGCTTCTGGGTGACAGGTGTTACAGAGAGAAGTGAGAAGAAATGGTCTTGGGCAATGGGAAGTTCTGAGCACTCAGGGGTGGGCCTGCAGGGTGACAGCCTGTAGCCAGAGTGACTTGAAGGACTAGGAGGGACTCACCTCCTGAGGAGTAGGAGGAAGGTGAATGACAACTGCCGGCATGTGGGAGCTGGGCTAGTCCCCAGAGGAAGGAGTGAAGTGTCTGAGCAAGAAATGCACAACAAATATCCATGTTCCAGGTCTAGAGGACACTTCCTGGCTCCTCAGATCACTGGCTGGTAGAATGGGAAAGCCCCAAAGAAGCCCAAGGAGAGTCTTTGGCCCTTTGGCTGGCCACTTGGCAGACACAAGCCCTAAGTGATGTTTTCTGGGACTGCTACTGCTGGTATGGGCTCTCCAGAGGCTCAGTCTGAATTCTGCTTGGTCTCCTTATTGTCTCAGGCTGCAGGGCCCTCCCACCTCTGCCCTCTGGACTCATCCCTGCATTGTGGCAATAGCTTCCTGGCAGGTGCCCAACCCCCCTCCACCTGTGCTCCAGCAGTCTGTGGGTGAGCCCTCAGGAGGTCATGCAATCCCTCCACAAAAACTCAGGCATCCCACACTTAGCCTCTGCCTGGCTTCTGGGCTCTCCTCAAGCTAGCCCCAGCATTCTTCTCCTGCAGTGTCTCCTCTTTCTCAGCTCTCCAGGCCTGGGATACTTTCACTGGAGGCAACCATTAACCCTCATCTGCAGAATGGGCCCTCTAGAACCAGCCCTCAGGCTGCTGGAACACCATGTGGTGCTTAGCTGTTTGGACCCAGGCCAGCAAGGCAGGCTCTTCGGAGTGCTCCCCTCTCCAGGGTGGCCTCCCCACAGATCAAGCTCCCCAGGCCTTTGGATGCTCACATCTTGCCCCTCTCAGGCTCAGACCATGAGTGCAGCTTTTCTTGGCCCCTCCAGCTTTCAGTGTCTTCCTAGGGCTCTAAATTCCGTGGTGACAAGATTGAAATGCCAGCTTCTATCCTTCTATACCTGCTTTGCACAGAGATGTCTCCTCCTGCTAAAATGCAGTCAGCATCCTGGTCCTGTGTCTTCTCTCTCTCTCGCTGAGCACCTCCCTAGCGTGGGGAACTCTGTGGCCCTTGAGCTACCAATATGGTCATGGTGAGTAGGGACACTCCCACAGCAGTGGGGCCTGGACAGAGCTTTCTCTTCCTTGGGTCCTCCCTGGATGGGGAAAAGGCGGGAAAGGGTTTTGTCTTTTCTGATCTCTTGAGATGCCACCCCAAAGACAGGTATGGGAGGATGTCCTGCTCCTAAAATGTCTTCGTTTATTTTTGAAGCCAGAGTCTTGCTTCCCTGGGTCCCCATGACCTGGGAATGCAGGAGGAGGGGTGATGAAGGGGAAGTTGGGGCTGCATGAAAACACAGGCAGCCCAGGTCAGTCAAACCCCGTCTGTGAGACTGAACTGTGGAACCGGATGCCCTAGGCTTACAAGGCCCCTAAAGCCCAGTTTGTGGTCCATGTCCTAAGAAGGGGCTCTAGGAGTAGGCTGACAGCTGGCTCCATGATGCCTGAGGGCTCTCCTTTTAATTCACCCCCAATAGCCCTTAAACTCTTGGAAGAACAACGAAGTCTCAGTGTGGGAAAAGCAGGTGCATCTGGAAATGGATACTTAGAGGAGAGTGGGCCAGACGGAGCTCTTGGGCGCAGACACAGACTGTAGGGCTGACAGTGCTGAGGTTACAGCAAAAGTGGGAGACCTGGGAAAATGACCTAAGCCCCAAAGTCTGATACCCCTGGTACAGAACACACACATGCACATGCACACATGCACAAGCACACATGTACACACATTCACAAAAACATGCCTGACCATTTCCCCAGCCAGGGCCTCTCTCCATCCAGGCCCCAAAGCAGAGAAGGTGGCAAGAGAGAAGGGGATACTCACCCAGATCAGCCTGCCGGACATTTTTCATCCGGATGACCTTTACTGTCAACAGGTGGCATGGAGACAATCTGGCCTATGGATTGAGAGGACAGTGACTTACCATTCAAGTATTACTGCAAGACTATTGGCCCTGAGGAGACTTTTCTACCACGGCCTTCCACACCCCAGACCTTCCCACACCCCCAGGTATTACAGGAACTCCTATGATTTTTTTTTTTTGGAGAAGTTTTCACTATAGGGCACGTGCGCTCACCAGACAGACAGAGAGAGACATAGAGACAGAAAGCGAGAAATCACCCCCCAGGGGGGATGGTCATGCTGCAATTCCTTCTCCTCCATTTTCCTCTCGGGATCTTGGGCACACACGCACACGTGCCCGGCGTGAGTTTTAAGCCACCGGGTCCAGGACGCAAACCGCGGTCGACTACGTGGGAGTCCAGCAACATAGCCATTACGCTAACTGCTGGTTCCCATGATTTTTTTTTTAAGAGAGATTTTTGGTAAAAGGTATGTGTGCTTGCCCGAGAGAGAGAAAACAAGAAATCACCCCCAGGGGCGATGGCCACACCATAATCCCTTCTCCTCCGTTCTCCTCTCAGGATTTTGGGCATACATGCATATACGCTTAGCATGAGTTTCAAACCACCAGGCCCTGGACTTGAACTGTAGTCGACCATGTGGGAATCCAGCAACATAACCATTACACCGTCTGCTGGTCCTACAACTCCTATGATGATTTGTCATTGTTAGTGCAGGGTTCTGCCTTTTCCCAGCCTGGAAGGTTCTGGAGGTTCCTAAGAGCCTGAGACTCTGGATTTTCATCTTTGTACATCCAGTACCTGCAGCAGGCTGATAATACAGAAGGTGCCTAATAAGTGTTTGCTGAATGAGTGAAGGAAGGAAGGAACGAATGTTCTAGTCCCAAGCACAGCGTGAGCACTAACGGCAAGGGGGCCCTGACATGTTTCCACTCTCCTTTCTTCATCAAATAGCTTCTTATTGGCACTCCCTCTTCCCACTCCACACATCGAGAAACATTTTCCTGGCCCACCTAAGATGGCAGCTTGCTCAGGAGACAGGAACCATGTGGCTTGGAGGGGTAAAAACACTGGTCAGACCTGGACTGAGAGTCTTCAGGCCAGGTCCCCACTATCTCCTGAGAGACATTTACATCTCCTTTGCCCTTGAGCCCTGTGCCTGAGGCATCCTCCCCCAAGTCTCTCTGGTCCCCTGGTGTCCCCCTCTCAGTGAGCAATCTGCCTCTTGCCTCTTCTTTGCTAGAGATACCTGTGAGATCTTAGCTGGTTGGCAATGACCTCTCTCTCACGACAGTAAAAGCTTGAGTAATTCTTGACTGGATTTCCGGCTCTTGTCAGATGCCTCTGTTGGTAACGCTAACCCCCAGGGACCAGAGTCCTGAGGTTTCTGCCTCTCCCCTAGTAACTCAGCCTAATGACTCGGGATACGGACACGCCTTGAGCCCCGGTGGTGGATGCTGATGTCTCTCTGTTGGTCCTGCTTCTCTTCTATTCCTGATCACTTTCTGGGGGCCTGCCATCATTCCAAGCTCAATCTCCTCAAGTCACCCCCACATCCCTTCCTAGGCTGCAGAGTCTGGGCCCCAGTTGTCCTGCACTCTGTGAATCACGCATCAGACTCTGTTCCACCCTTGTCCTCATCCGATCTCTATCTTCTGCCTCCCAGATGTCCTGAAACCACCTCTCCCAGCCTGTCCAGCTCTTCCTTCTCTTGCCTTCCCAAGTGGCTGCCTATGGCCCAGCCCAGCTCCTTCAGTGCCTACACTGGAAGGGAAGGAGCATCCACCGCTTCCTTCGGGACCTGTCCTTCCAGGAAAAGTTTTCTCCTATCAGCTAACCCCAACACTTCCCAATGAGCCTGGTCTCTTCTTCCTTCTCTAATTTGGATGCCAACAGCAATGCTGGCCCTCTTCTGTTGGGTGTCTGCCACCTGCCAGGTACTATGAACACGTTCTCTCTATATCATCTTGCTTCATCTTGACCACCCCCACCCCAGGAGCAGTTATTAGACTCACTTTAAAGATGGAGAATCAGAGGCTGAGTCCTTGGGCGGCAGGATCTCAGCTAAAATCAGAGCAATCAAGTTCGAATCCAACTCTTATTCTCAAACCCGTGCCCATAACCATTGCTATCCTCTCACCTTCCTTGAATGTGACCCTTGACCAACATGAGGACAGGTGTTGTTTATCTCCTCTGCTTTGGTCTTCTCTTCAAGACAATTTTCCTGACAGTTTCAGCTTCATTTTACCCTGAATTCTTTCAAAGCCCAAAAGTAACTCCCAAATGCCGACAGTCCTATGGGCTGCTCTCTCGTTAGCTGCATTTGACCAATGCAGGCCATGATCTCTCTTGTGCTCTTTTGTAAATACCCACAGCACATCAGAGCCAGAAGAGTCCTCGGGAAGGTTCCCATTTTCTAGGACCCAGAGAGGTCTCCTTTGTGGTCCACCTTCCCATCTAGCTCAGGAATTTTCAGGACGGATCCAAAGTGCTCTTCCTATTTTCCAGCACAGAGATAGAGCCTGGAAGGGAGTGTGAAAGGTGCCCCAGAGGGGCCAGGCTGCAAGGAAACCTCGGGGCCCAGATACATTCCAGGAACCAGTGCTATGAAAAAATGACCTTCTGGGATTTAAATGAATGTGCATGTTTTCCTCCTGCAACAGTCAGCTCAGTCAGGGCAGTGCCAAAGATGAGCAAAAGTTCCTGGCCCCCGAGGTAATCGATCTACAGCAGAAAGATGAGTGTTGTGGATCTTTCCGATGGGATCCAGCAGCCAGTGA